ATTGACAGATTGCCTGAACATACCCACTTTACCGTTAGTGCAACGGTTTGCGCGCTGACACTGATGTGGCACAGCTGTTGGCGGTCGCTTTTAACCAGACGCATACACTATGCGTTTGCCTGATCTTATTGTGTTTGTTGTTATTGCTGTTGTTGAATCAACTTGTGGTGGCAACGCTAATAACTGTAGTCTTGCGGCCTGCGGCTGTCTGCAACAACAGCAAGACGCGCACACATCAAGAGCAGTTGGGAATTTCCCACAATCAGATAAGTGACGGCAGTGCACCAGGCAAGCGTGTGTGTGTGTGACACAGCTGTTCACATGCATAGTTGAAGCACGTGTCGCTTACTTGACTTGCACGTCTTTGGGGCACATTCAAGCAAACTGCTGATGTCTGTGGGAATTTGCGAAGATGTTGCATTGTCATTGTTGCAAGTGCACCTGGCCTCCCTAAGCATGCACACTCACACACATGCTAGTGTATTTGCGCAAATGAGCTGATAATTGTAAGGAGCTTATGGAGTTCAGATTGTATTGGCATTTAATTTGATTAATGGCCGATTATTTGTAATCGCTTGCAGATTTGCATGCCCAATCTCGTCTCGTCAATTGAAAGCCGAAGGGAATATATAATTAATTGGCTGCAATCATTTAAAATAATTTATATTATTTCTATTTTAGGGCTAACTTTTTTGAGAAATAGTTGAATTTGCAACGAAATTGTGTTACGCAACAAAATTTCATCACGTTAACGGCGTGGAGTACACAGCCATAGTATAAGCTTAGCAATTTAAAAACTGTTCTCATATTGCTCCATGTAATTTTTGCATGGCTTCTCGTAATTTTTTTTTAAGCGTTGCCACCTTTTGGAATTTGAGAAAGCTTTTAATATAAATAGTAAAATGTTTAGTTTTGTTTTGGTTTAATTTATCATTAATTTGAACAACTTTACTTATAAAAAACTATAACAGAGTTGCCACCTAATTATTTAAAAACATAAATTCAGAAAGAGTTAAAATTGAAGAAATTAAACAAAATGGCTATCAACCTACATTTGTTCTGTGCATATAGCAAAAAGATTACTAAGAGAGTTGCCACTTATTTCAAAATTGTAATAATTAAAAGATGGAATACTTTTGTAATGATATTATTGGGAATTATGGTTAGATGAAATATTGCATTATTGCCAACAAATTTAAGAAACTAAAAAACTTACAGTTAAAACATTATTTTTAAGAGTGTTGCCACTTATTTATAACTAAAATTGTATAAAAATAATAATATGAAAGACATAGTTTTAAACTTGTGTTAAAACTATTTGCGAAGACGAGCAGTTAAAAATATTAATTATAAGGGTTGCCACCAGAAGTAAATTAAAGTTGAAAATAAAAACATGGAATTAAACATGTTTCAAAAATCAAACAGTTTATTATACATTATATTAACTGGAAGTATGTTCAAGTTAGGCTTCAGAAGGTTGACATATGGCAAGGTTGGTGTTGGCGATTTGTAAATATTTTCCTGTGATGAGTTGCCGCATAATTAAAAAAGAAGTAAAAAAAAAAATAGTGATAATAAATCAATACAAGAAATGCATCATTTGAATTTAGGAACATTTAAGGTTAAAATTTTTCTTAAGAGGGTTGCCACCTGCATGGCGTTGTCCTTTCCACTTCGCTCTTGGTTCTGGTGGGGAATGACCTTTTGAAGGAACGAAAGAGGCTGGAAAATACCTAAACACAATTTACGATCTAACCCAAACATTTACATAGATGTGGTAACCAGTGGATCAGGGAGTAATGAATTAGCCATAAATCCAAATAATACTGGGCTAGTTTTATTTACTCGAATATCCCTCGTAGGGGGGAAAGAGTGAGGAGGGCATCTATCGCTGTAAAATATTTTAGAAGAGCTATTGGGAAGAGGTGGGGCGTCTCAAAAAAGTGTTTTATTGCGTCGTTGTCTGGGCAAGGGCGTTTTGAAAAACCACAGCAGGTAATCAAGTGGAGCTTGACTAAGAGTGCCTCTCATCGGCATCCGTGATGCACTAAGGACAGACCCAATATTGCCATTAATTGTCTTTTAAACGTTGCATCTACTGACAGCTGGTAGGTGGTTGGCGCCAAAGGCTGCTTTTAGAGTTATGAATGCTGGCTATTTGAGGGGCCCAGAGCAAAGACGCAATGGAATTCTGCACTGCTTTCATTGCTTACAGTTTAGCACACAAATTCGATGAACTATCTTCTGGCAAGACATTTGCAGGCGAGCCGAAGCCGTTGAAGAAGGGCTGCAGTGAACAAGAATAGATTGAGGTTACGGAGAGAGTAGAAGGTGGAGCCTTCTGTAAGAAGCTCTTCGCAAACTCCAATTTCGAACTACTAGACCGCAGTAGCGTCTTTCAAGCGGAAGTGGTTCTCGTCAGGGTAGTAGTTGTACTAATACGAAGTGCAGCTTACTTCAAAGAGTTGTGCATTCACTACGAAAGTCGAGCGACTATACTAGCTTTGAGCTCGTCAACTGTTCACTCAAAACTAGTCAGGGAATGCGTGATCTCATTACCGATAACTTCAACGCAATCGTCGGAAACTGCAGATCCATTGTTTTGTTAGGCACGGCAACCTTTCTCCCATTCACCCGATTGGAAGAGAGTCGGTTTTTTGATGCCTTCTTGCGTTCTGGCATTGAAAATCCAGCAATTTCAGAAAGCACTGGTCAACAACCACAACCTTTGCAACTGCCTTCTGAACTGCCTTTCGAACAACTGGTTGTTAGTACAAATAATTTAGCGAAACTAGCGAAGTAGCGTTGAAAAACGGTTTGGTATGGTTTGTGGTCCAGTAGAATCATCGATCCATATTTCTTCAAGGATGATGTCGGTGAGAACGTAACGGTCAATGATAGGCGACTATTTAATGCCTGAAATTGAAGCTCGTAATATCGGAGACATTTGGTTTCAACAAGACGGCACCACTGCCCACACATCGCATCAATGAATAGATTTATTGAGAGAACACATCGCTGATTATCTGTTTACGTTAGCCGATCGATTGGTCACCAAGATCGGGTGATATTATACAGTTCAACTGTATCGTCCTGTGGAGATATAATAGGTTGTCAAAAAAGTCTTGCGGTATTTTTATTGAATTTTCTATTGTTCATAAAATTTTTTTTTGATGACTCATGCCCAGATCTTGACCGATGCTGCAGCTGCAATTATGTCGGTCTCTTTCGACTAATTCAGCGATTTTATCGCAATTTTCGACTACAGGCCTTCCGCAGCGTGGCGCATCTTTGACCACCTCTAGACCAGAACGAAAACGTTGAAACCATCGTTGTGCGGGGGAAATGGAAACTTTATCGGGTGCATAAACTGCACAAATTTTATTGGCGTCTTGAGATGCATTTTTGCCTTTATAGTAGTAGTACTGTAAAATATGCCGTATTTTCTCTTTATTTGACTCCATGTTTGCGACGCTATAACTCACGAACGACTTAAAACAACAATCAATCAAACACGCGTTAGCGCGTGAAATGAGCTTTCCAAAAAGGTATAGCATGACCCGATGCGACGAATAAAACTAGAACTACGCGCTCTNTGAATAGATTTATTGAGAGAACACATCGCTAATTATCTGCTTACGTTAGCCGATCGATTGGTCACCAAGATCGGGTGATATTATACAGTTCAACTATATCGTCCTGTGGAGATATAAATATAAAGTCTAAAGTGTATGCTGTAAATCTGCTTGGATTCAGGCCTTGGAGCAAAATATCACACGTCTCATTCGCCAGTTCCCATTGGCCTCCTCGAACGAGTCATTGGAAATTTATCTAATGGATGGACCGACCATCTGAGACAGCCGTGGTCAATATTTGAAAGAGATAATATTTAGAAAACAAATTGCAAAGAATGTTTTTTCGAATGATAATTCCCTATTAAATTTGTAATTTCTGTGCTATTGCTTTAAAAAAGTAGGGAACCTCAAAATGGATCAAATTTTATAATTATTTTTTACACCAAGTAGAAATTCAATCTTTATTTGTTTTACAATTTTGTTGTTTCGGAATATGAAATTCAAAACTGAAACTTATTCTCGCCCACTCTAAATTGATTACATCTCAATCCTACATTAATACCAGCACTTCTACAGCCATTACTTTCACACTCCGCTTTTCTTTCGTTTTTCAGATAAACTATAACTGCCTCAGACAGCCGAGCAATCTTGAGAAGAATTGAGTGATTGCGATTGTGTCCAAGTGCCACTCAAAGAGCCGCAACCTAATAGAATCCTCAAAGCTGGGAAAAGGGGAAGAAAAACGAAAGGATTCCAATTGAGATGACATGACTAACTCACACATGTGGCMACATATGCACCCAGTGTAATAAATCACTAACGAGAAATAACAACAACAAAAGGAGCAAAAACATATTTGAATACGAATGACATTCCAAAGCGATTGAGCGCAGCAGAAGCGGGCAAAAAGAGGGATATAAATGTTTTACAGATGTCACAACAAAAACAATACCCCAAAGAACAACAACAACAACGATGGAAAAATGTTGAAGCAGACGGACAGAAGAGACAAGAGTAGAGAGGGAACAAGCAAACGCATACAAACTATTGAAGAACAGAAGCAACAAAACACAAAATCTATAAAGAAAGAACAAGCTGCCGTACTGCTAATACCATTGTTGCAAAGTCTGCAGCGATAACAAAAAAGACTCGACACAAGCGGAGAGGTGAGAATGTTAAATCGAGAGAGGCAGAGTACTGATATATTATAGTAACGAGTAGATAACCAAATAGGCCACAGGGTAAGAAACATGGAGGACGAAAATATAAATGAGCCGCAAAAAGCAGACGGTAGGACGCTTGTAAAAGACGCCGGAAACGTCGCAACGTTAGAGAGAGCAAGCTTAGAACAGCTGCCTAGGGATTTTGGTGGCAAATCGAAGTCACACAGAAGTGCAGTAGGTGAAGGCAAAAGTCCAACTGAAAGCATGTCCGAAGAACCAACAGAAGGGCTGGCAGAGTGCCCAACTGAATTGGAGATCCAAGAGGTCAGACTTGAAGAGCAGCGGAACGCACTACCTAACGATGATGGCAGTCCAACGCCACGTGTGCTTATGAAGGTGGACAAAGCGGTTAGTACGAACGACACGCTCGAAGATCTGCAGCGAGCGCTTACCTACGAGGTAATATTCAGCACGCTACTGCAGAAGAAAGTGATGGCCATCAAGCGAGAGTGTGAGGAGCGTAAGCGTGCCAAACGCATGAAACGCAAGTCCATTGGACGCATATTTTTTAGTCGCAAACTTTTCGGTGGCTCACGTAAGTTGCGCGGCGATAGCGAACCCGATGTTTACATGCGTGGCGAGTWTGACGCAATGATGGCGCCACCAACTGGCTTACGTAGCACAAAGACTGCAACAAAGCGAACAAGCGATAGTGGCGKCAGAAAGAATGGCGATGAAATCGAGGTATTCTCAACCTCGGCCTCGGCTTCGWACGGTAGTCATCGCTCGCAGTTGACACGTGCCACGCTAACGAAGACGCAGAAAGTTAAAACGCAATTGACTACTGCACACGGTGCTGCGRGCGGACAGCCGGCTGACGATAGCGTAGCTAGCACGCTGAGCAATTCTTCGGAGAAGAATGATGTAAGCGGTACCGGCGCTGTTGGTGGACAGACTATGGTAAGGCGCAGCTTGTTGGTACGCGCACAAACGCACACACCCGCTGAGGTGATGACTTCGAGCTCGGGCTCCGGCGACTCACGTGCTGCCMCACATAGACGTTCGGTCTCGGTCATTAATGGTAACGGCAATAGTATTGGTAATGGTGGCAATGGTGGTTTACCCGTTTCGCTGTTGGAGYGCACCTATGATACCACTTCATTGGCCAGTGGTTATGAGAATGGCACCGGCGCACGCTTGCATACGTCAACRATGGCCGACGATAGCTTGACTTCGCTACGCGACAGCATCGAGAGTTTATCGTTCGGCAGCTCGCGTTGTACGGTAAGTTTTGGCGGCGCCGAGATCATACCRGACGAAACTGCCTCACTCATTTACGAACGTGCACGACTGGCAAAACGCCTGCGTATACTCGAAGCCAAATCGATTAGTGCACAATGCAGCCCCGTACTGCCACGACAYTTGATCGCCACGTTACCGGCACCAGCAACGGAGCCAATGCCAATGCCACCACTGACACAGACGACAGTTAGCATTGACAATGCCATGCAGGCCGCAACCACTACGAAGCATATAATTACGCCCACCACTGCCGTTCCTTACACCGCAGCGCCCAGAGCTGGCGCGTACACYAACGTTGTCGGTAGCGAAATCACAACAGTCCCCACCAGCAATAAGATTACCCAAACGAAACAGCACATCTTTCGCCATCAAGTGTCTTATACGGACAGCACTTACGGCGGTGCGGGTGACTTCGGCGACATGTCCGCCTACTCACGTTACATTTCGCGTCAGAATACCTCGGAGGAGAGCGCCAATTTGACCGTTAGCACTTTGTTGAATCAAAGCGACTCTCTGTCGCTACACGCACCCATCTGCTCGCCAACCGCAGCAGGCGGCATCGGTGCTCCCGGTGGTGGTGGTGTTGGTGCCTTCATGCTGGGCGATCGTTTCAAATCGAAAAGCACAAGTCTGTTAGTAGTCGGTGGCATGGGACGCAATCGTTTGCTGCCAACACCACAAATAGTGCAACAAGCGCTTTTTGTGCCCGCAACGGCAGSTGATGGCGCCGGCGCAGTGAGCGGGACATTGCCGTGTAATATTAGTCATAGYGATCAATTAGTAGATAGTTTCAATACAAATAAATTCACTGCGTCTGGCTACGCSGCGCCAGTTGCACAATATAACGCACAAAATCAATTGCCCGCACACCGCACCACAATTAACGGCAACACTGCTGCTACTAAGCCTTCTATGCCAGCTACTACGGTGTACCAGGCTACCACGGCTGCTGGCATTACGGAAAGCACMACGGCTGTTGTGCCGCTGAACGGTTCGCGCGTGCGCAATGGCAATGCCAATGGAGTTATTGTAGGCGGCGCGGCGTTACCTGCTGATACGGCCAGGCTGAACCGCATGACTTCGACATCGACTGGTTCCAGTGTGGCGCCGACTGGCTGCTGCACTACAACGAAGTCTTCATCGCGCGGCCGCGAGAAGAACAAACAGCGCTACAAGCCGAGCTGGCCKTCAGGGCAGAGCGGCAGTGACGATGAATATCGAAAGCGCAAACGGAAATACAGTAAGCACCTTGAAAGTCTCATATCTATAAGTCTTTATAATCTATATTAACGCAAATCTCTCACCCAGAACGTTACCACAGATGTTCAGATCCAGTTTTGGTTTATCCGACACCAAGCGGATTGCAACACTGCATACTTAGTATGCCGCCGAATGAGCCACTGTAAGTCTATATATCATATTTAATTTAGAATAATTCCCAAGTCGCTTATAAAAATTCTAATTAATTCTKCCGTTAATTGCAGCCAATTTCAGTACAATGACAACTTCCCTTACGATATGCAAATCCAAACGGAGTCCGATAAAAATGACGACCTTGAAGAAATAGTTCCAAGCAGCCATCGCCGACATCGAAAACATCGGTAAGTAAGGCACAGCCACACAAAATCTTACATTTGATATATGTAGAATAAATTGTTGGTTAAATGTGTGTAAACAGCGCCGAGAAACTGTAAAGGAACTCGCTGAAGTTAATAGACAGCTGAGCTCTAATGCCCAAGACAATGGTTTAATTAATAAACTATGAAGTAGAAGCGAAGAAGGATACAGCATACGGACAGGCCAATAGGGTATACAAACTTTTTTCTTTAGAAACTCTAGTTAGCTTTCAAGAGCTTAAGAATTAAAAAAAAAAAAAAATCCTCTTTGTGAGCATGATGTTATGAATTCTAGCTGAGGTCTCCTGTTTCGAAAAAGAGAATTTCAACTATCATTAAAAGCTTGTCATTGAAAGAACACAAAGTTCTTTAATAATGTAATGGTGAACAGAATCAAAAAAATTTATCTTTTTGTCTCTATTTTATATCCTAACCTCTGAAAAACTTTCCGTCAAATAGATAGGTTTCCACTTATCAATTTGAAGATGTTTCTTGATTARATCAGTTATCATTCGACCGATTTTCAATGATTTTGATGGAGTATCGTAAATCGTTCCGTTCTTTTACAGTAAAGTTAGTATACGTATCTCCATTTGAGATTTCTGAAGTCGGATTCGAATTATGCCTCTTACGTCCCCTATAGCAGAGTTTACAATAGCGCGACAGTCGTCCATCCATTTCACTGTTTGGCGCCAATTGGAGATTCTAAGTAAAGCCAGGCCCCTCTCCGCTTGGTCTTTCCAACAGATTGGAGGATTATGTTGCGGACGACATGATCTAGCCAGCCTAGCCGCTGTCTCTTAATTCGTTTAACTGTGGCAATGCCGTCGTTCCATAGACTGCAGTATTCGCCGTTGCGAATGCGCAAAATCTCCCGCAGATCCTTTCTCTCGAAAACTCGTAACGCCGAATTAAGCTTCACAAACTTGTCCAGCATAATCGTCCGAACTTGGTGTAAGAGCCCCAAAACGGGACATTCCAAAATTATCTCGCACTTCGACTGCATTCTTGATATCAGCGCACATACTTCGGAGKGATACTCGTATGTGACTGGGGCGAAAATGCCAGAGAAAAGACGCAGTGTGCTCTTTCTCGGATGGACCGAAGCTCAAGACTCATGGTTGGCGGGGAAGTTTCCTACTGGGAGCTCTCAATCAACTCTTGTTTCAGACTGTCAATCCAATGTTGTGTGTTTAAAGCTAGAGGTGTAGCCATCAATGTAGCCGATGTACTTCTACGACTCCTTTGGGGGAGGTATGCATTCACTATGATAGCAAAGCTCTTATACAGGCCTTGATTTAGTTAACAGTGTGCTCAAAGCTGATCAAGGAGTGCATGAACTCACTAGCAAACGAATTAAGCTAAATCCACAATAAACTTTTTTGGATGCCTAGTCAAAGCGGAATCGTCGGTAGCTGTAAAGCCGATGAGTTCGCTAGAACGAGCACCCGTATGAAAACTCCATCAGTTTATGAATGAGCATGGGTTCCTTTATATTCGTGCATTCCGAAGCTGGTTATATGGGCCTCGCCCGAACTCTGCAAGCTTTGGTAGCAAACAGCACTTCAGCTCAGATTGAAAAATAAAACGGAATTAAACTTGAACTCCAAGCATTTAAATGTCCCAACTGGACCCTGTCCTTTTGCACTTACTTTCTCCTCTGTCTGTCCAGCTTCCATCACACTAAGATTGAAGCAGCTCCGTTACGATATGAACTTAGCAAATTCGTCGGAATTGATATTAGTCGCTTTTATAAATATTTTACAGGTTCCATATGCGACGGTTCTTTGATCCATGCCTCACAACGGACAATCGTCTCTAGGCGTCCAAATGGTGTCATTCGTCGTCTCACGAAAATTTTGCATATTCATCTAACCTAACCTCATAGAATGTAAGACTATCAAATGACAGGGAAGGGTGAATGAAAACCAATAAACAATTTGATAAAGAATTTACTCAGAAGAGGCCAAAGGGTTCGATATTTCTGGAAAATCGTCAGTCACCATAAACCGTATATTGCTTAACTGGTCAGTTAGCCCATCTGTTGCTCTTCCGTAAATATCTTTGAGAGTCCATTCACTATCCACTTATATTTTCGCCCAACGGCTGTAGTTCAAGCGACCCGCCCAGCGAAGCAACGCAGCCAACTGAACCGTTTGTAATTAGGGCCGTTCAATGCACGCCCGCTGTCGGCGAGATAATTTCGTTGAGGCTGAACTTCTGCCACTGCCCCCGCCCCGCCGACCAGCACACGCACAAGCGCGCKGAGAAAGCTTTACCAATTAATTCAAAACAATTCGGAGCAGCCAAAAGCACGGMAGGGTGGAAGAGAGGAGGATAACGAACGGAGGATTGCGTACGCCGAGAATATCAAGTGAAAATTGATGGTTGCGGCAAAGCGACTGTGTGAACATGAGAACAATAGAAGAGTGTCGGCACCAAAAAAAAAAAAAGAAAAAAAAAGTGTGGCACAGCAATTAAGATTACGAATGGCAAGCAAAACGAGAACGAAACAAGTAAATCAGCATTGCAAGGCGTTGGCATTGCCAGAGTGCTGGATATTTGCAAATCATCGCGCGGTCATTGGATGCTTACTTGCCACTTTGGGACGTCAATTTGCGAWGCGGCGCTGCAATTATTACTTGCGTTTCCATGAAATCGAGATGCGCTTGGCTTTGCTACGGACTTCGTTTGCCTTCATAAGGATTACACGAGCCGACTCAAATATATGTATGTATATGAGTTTATCTCCCGTTCTTTTTTGATTGGGAAATTTCGCCGCAAAAGTACGCTTGGCGACAACAACAACAAGGTGAGAAGCACCAACTGTATCACTGTCTGCTGAACTATGCAAACAATTCAACAGCTGACTGCCGGTCTGCACCCTTTGCGCCCTTCAACCGCACACGCAAGCCCTCTGATGAGCCACCCGTCTGCCTACCTCCGACTTTCGGCGCGCTGCCGTTGATTGCTGTTGAGGCTGCCAGCATGTTTTGTGCTTTAATTATGCTTCGTCTGAAATTTGGGTCAAGGTGTGCCAAAGAGTTCAGTAAGCTGGCGCGCGTGTCGCGATGGCGATGGCATGGGTGTGGGCGTAGTGAATGTGTGTGAAGCTTCTCGAGGAAGAATGGCAAGGGCATAACTTGCTGATGTAGTGCAGATGGCGGTAGGCTCTTGACTGTTCAGCTGCTTTATTAAAGCCATTTGCACTSAGCTCGATTCTTTGGTGGCATGGAACATTCTGCGAAAAAAGTTGCTGCTTTTGTTGTTGCCTGCGGCTTTGTTTGTTTATTGTATTCCGCAGGCGCATGCTGAGCTGTGCGAAATGGCGCTATCGAATTTCGTGGAAATTGCGAGCTGACAAAGCTGGTTGTACGCGGGTATAATGGGTGGTCCAGAAGCAAATTTTTAAGGGGTCACGGTGGTCTAGAATTTTCAAAAAATCGATTTTTTTTTTTTGATAGTTCGAAAGTATAATCTTTTAAGAATAAA